GGCTTAAGAAGGATCGGGTGCGCCAGCGGCCATTTTGGGGGAGGGCAAAGAAGTGGATAAATAACTCTTCCCTGGGGCTTTGTCTCTGAGTGGGAAAGGAAGAGCCTCACCCAAGATGGCGGTGCGCTGCCCGCATTCAAGATGGTGGCTGGGCTCTGTGGATGCTGCCTAAGTAAGAGTGTCGACGTTTCCTTAGCTTGTACAGCTCTAACTGTACAAAAAAGAAAAAAACCAATAGAGAAAAATTTGTGTGTTGGTAGAGAAGGGAGGTGAAATGCTTTAGGGTAAGGTTGGGTGTGTGGAAGAGCCTTACTGGGTACAGTTGATGGCAGTTTGCTAGACCAGCTCTGGGTGAGGTAGATATGGCCCCTTGCACAGTAGGGCCTGGTAGGGCTGCTGCAGGCTGAGGGGACAAGGGAGGGCAGGAGGAGCCCCTTTCTGTAATGTGTGCCTGGCTACCCCAGTGCCTATGGCTGCCATGGAGGCCAATGTGCCTCTAGGCTCTCGATGGCAGCCTGGGTGTAGCTCATGCTTGGGGCACTGGCTGCCACAGAGTGCTCTGCAGTAGCCATTACTTGCTAGCACTTTGTGTCTGTATTGTACAGGCAGGAGGCTGCAGTAGGGTGAGGCTTGTAAATGATTTCTCAGTGTCACAAAGTTGTCTTAAGACAGCTGCCAAGAGAGGACCTGTTGCTGGGACCTTGATTTCCCTGTTGCAGCAGCTAAAAGCCACTGCCTCCCTGTACCGGGTGTGGTTTTGTGTCTATGTGTCTCTATGTGTGGGAATATACCTCTGTGAATAACTACACATGTGGAAGCAGATAGATGACTTCTTTGTTTGAATTTTCCTGGTCTTCCAAATATGACTCTCTATACTTGTGAGGGGTTTTGCTGCTGGTTTTTTGCCAGTAGTAAACTACATCAGTGTTGTCAGTCAATGTTTTTTATCACCCGTTTTGTAATGCTTGGTATTTTTTAAGCTTTAGCTTTCAGTGTTGGTAGCTACAATGGTTATAATTGAATGCAATGGATTTTTGGATAGCTGCTATAACTGAACAGAATCATGAAAAAAATTAATGCCATTGTTCAAAAACTGGGGAGGATTGCAAGGCAGAAATAACAGTGAAAATCTTACAGGTTTAACGTTGATGTTGTGACCTTTTGTGAATTGTATGTCAGCTGAAGGCTTGGGTTTGGAAAAATCTGTTGTTTGGGGAGGAAAGCTTCTAATTCAGTTGAAATACTGAGTGATTTTCCTGTTGTGGACACTAGGCTACATTTGAAAAATCCTTTGTGTTTCCTGTTCAGTTAAATATCATTCACATGTGAAAGCTGTTTATCTTCAAACTATTAGAGCAACTGCTCATGTCACCTTTGGGACAAAATGGGTGAAGTGCAGACATCTGTAGTTTAGATTAACTTCTTAAATTCCCTTTATGTAGGTCAATGTATAACTTAATCTATAAATGGTATTTGGTCCTCTGCCAGTTGCACAGAAATGTGGTCCTTCCTGAATAGCATACTTGATTTTTGGCTTTTTTTCCTAATATTAATCCAGATATTCTAGACCGTTTGCTTCAGGCTATAATATGGTAGAAGTTCATTCAACTGTTCCTGAACATCACCATTCAGGAACATCAGGAACATCATCGTTGGTGAACAGTAACTGAGACTTTGATCAGACAGTGTTTTCCATAACAGTCCAGAGTGAACTGTTTGAAGATAGGGAAAAAACCTGCAGAGTCCGTGGTACAGACTTAACTGACCATAAGTAGTAGAAAATACAAACTGATCTGTAATATTTGTGTAACTTAATGAGAAAAGGCTATGAGGAACTCCAAGAATGAGTTGGCATGCTTGTGAGTCATGAGGTACCAGCTGCTGGATTTCAATGAAAAATAGGAAGTAATAAGTATCACGTGTTCTCAACCCAAACAAGCAGCTGACTGAGTCTTCTGGGAAGAAATTTATGTATAAGTAGTTGTCAGCTGGCTTTTATAAGCAACTGTTTTTCTCCAGAAACCAAATGTTAAGCCATTTTGAGTGATAAAAGACAAAAGATTTCTTGTGTATAGAGTGAAATAAGCAAGAAACTCCTCTGTCCCCTCCACTCAATATAAAGCACACAGTATATCACTCTGTTTTATTCTTATGTTACTAACTGCAAAAATATTAGCAACTGTATACCTCTCCAGTACTGC